GTATTGTGGCCTAAGCATTAATTCAATTTGCTCGCTAAACACTGTTTAGCGGGGAAATTATTGTGACAACGTTACGTCACCTGCACACCAGTTCAGCCTTCCGTTAAATTTAGTGGGGCAATTCAAGTCACGTGACATATAACCAAGTCATTTCTTCCGCTAGATATAGCGAAAGATTTACAGTAAAACCTCGTTATAACAAAGTTGAAGGAGCGGTCGTAATTATTTCGTTATAACCTGTCGTGAAGCGCTGTTATGTTCTCCAAGTAATTATTTCGTTATAACCATTAGTTTGTTATAGCCACTCTCCATTTCTTTCCACTTTTAGCAAACAAGGGGAATTATGATTGCTTTGGTATGACCATTAGTTTGTTATATCCCATTTTGTTATAACGAAGTTTTACTGTACATCACATGATCTAAACAGGAATCCAGTTTCCCACTAAATTTAGAGGGGGAAATCGACGTCCCCTGACCTATACCGTTTCGCTTTTTTTTTTTTGCTAAATTTTGCGGGGAAATAAATGTAACGAGTGACACCAATCTCCCCTCCCCTACCTTCCTCACCTCCTACGGTGCCCTCCCACCCTTCCCCTCCCTCTCCTTCCTTACGCCACGGTCGGGCGACACACAAACTCAGTTCTCCTGCTAAATTTAGCAGGGAAATTTACGTCACGTGACATACCAACAAATACTTTACTAGTGAGGTATTTGGTTCCGATTTCTTAGCCACCATCTATCTCTCTTCTTACATTTCCTTCCTCCCAGTCCCTCTCCTTACCTTCAAACTGTGATCTCACGCTCTCCCCATCTGCCTCCCATCCCTGAATGGATGTTAATGGCTATACCTGGCTATACCGTTTGGAACGGGCGCTAACCTCCGCCACCTAGACTAAGTCTAAAAAGACAAACAAATGATTTCTCCCGCCGTTCTGAGCCAATTTTCTCCCCTTAACTATCACCAGGCAGTGTGGGATGATGACCTTTTGGTCGATCGGGGAAAAAAACTTAACGCATCACCCCCGCCTCTGGGGAAAGGGAGTCGCCAATTTCCCCTCTGGTCACCTTGTCGTTGTTTCTCCAGCACCACCAGACCCACTGAGAGGCAGGGTTGAGACTTTGAGCCGGAGACACGCGGAAAAGAGTCCCAATTTCTTCTGTCCCGCCTGTCCCCAGCTGTGCTAGTTAGTTGTGCGTAATTTATTTTCCCTAGATAATTTACACCAATCTTCTAATCGCCTCTTTGACACTGTAATCCTTTCCTTTTTTGTTGTTCCATCGTCGCCAGCAAAACCCAGAGCCTCGACCAAATTCGTTGCCCCTTTCCGGGAAGGGGGCGGGGGGGGGGGGGGGGGGGGGGTGAAGCCCCATACATTTCAAAACCAGGTACTTTAGTGTCCCGCTGTCATTATGGTGGACGGCAGATAATGTATCTGTCTCCTGAAATTAAGCCCTATACATCCTCGTTCTCAAAACTATCAAAACAAGCGTTCTCGCCTCAAAGAGTAAAGAAAGTCCCAGTGAATTGTCAAACACTTTTTTCTTTCTTTTATCCTGTTTTTGTGACCTGTGCACTGTTAGAACTGAATTTCCCTGTATTCTTCCCTCCCAAACTTTTCATTCTACCTCATTCACTCTATTTCCCACTGAAGTAGTCTGCTCAGCCCCATCCCTAGTGTGTATGCATTTAAATGTCAGGTTTCGGGTTCGTGTTGTCCATTTTGTGTTTAAACTTTTCATGTATAAATACTTCAATACCTTTCGTGCCCACCACTTATCGTTCATTTTTGTCAACCTTTGTTCAAATTTCATGTTACTAACTGCCTCCCTGCTCCCAAAAGACAACCAACCCATGTCTCCCTGTACTCCCTCATCTATTGTCTTTCCATGTGCTCCCAGTGCCAATCAGCCTACGCTTCTTTGGTGAATTTCTAATCCTGATTAAACCTCCGATTTTATGCACAGTACTGCATTGCCAAAAGACAGGCCTGGTACCATTACTTTTTTCCATATACCTCTGTACGCTTCATATCTATTACAATTCCATAGTTTCTTGAGCTTCATAAAAGATTAATTTATTTCCCTTTTTCAAATATATTCTCCTAATGTTCTTCTGGATATTTCCTTCCCTTAATAAGCCAGATTCCTAGATATTTGTATTTTCCTACATTGCCTATTACAATGTCTTGCATCCGCAGGGGTTTTCTCTTTTTGTTGTTAAACGCCATTACACCAGAAATGTCACTACTAAAACTCATGTCCAAGGTGTCCCCTCCCCTTCCTTTACACATGTTCCAGCTAGTTCTTGTAATGTATCGTGATTATCTGCCGTACGTACTTTGTCTTCCGCAAACATCAGTCCCGGTGTTACCAGTATTACATTTTTCTCTTTTCCATATATTTCACATCAAAACCTAAGTTGCTCTGCTCTAACTTCTTTTCCATTTCGCCGAAATATATCACGAAGAGTAGAGGCTACAGTTGACAGCCCTGCCTGGGTATTTTCTTTATCGCTGCGGATTGTGTAGTTTCTTCATCCCAAGTTATAATAACGTTAATGGCTGTGCACACCTGCTGAAGAAACCTAAACAAATTTGCATCTGAATTATACTCCTTCAGTTGACCGCAGAGATATTCCTAGCTCAGTACGCTCCCTTGATGTCCAAATAAGCTAACCATAAAGGAGTTTGGTTTTTAGTTGACTTAAAACGAAAGAAACACAGAAGAGGATGAAACAGACGACACAGCTTTCGACTTGCAACGACAGACTTACTGAGGCGGTTAGCCGCTCAGAGCTCGACTTGGGGAGGCGATGGGGAAAGGGGGAGGGGGAAGAGGGGTGATGTAAGAAACACAGGGAGACCGTTGCTGGGACGAACACAGCGGGCGGTCGGGAGTCTGGTCTGTGCTGCCTCTCTCGTAGATGACACCTCGCGCCGCATCGTGCCGTCGCGGGCGCGGCGAAGAGCGGGGATGGGAGGGGGGGGGGGGGGGGGGGGGCGTTTTGGAACTCCTCGGGGAAAGCGCAAGGCGGACCACAGAGTCAAGCAAGAACAGAAAGCCAGTCTTCTATCTCTTCGGAATCCATTTTGAAGCTCACTTAAGTATTTGTGTCTCTCCTGCCCATTCCTCCATTTTCCGCTTTACTATCTGCATAGCCAGTCTGTATAGGGACAAAGTTACCGCTATTGGGAAATATGACTTAATTTTTTTTTATTTCCTTTGCCTTTATATAGTAGTCTCATATTACTCAGTTTCTAATCATTGGGTACCTCTCCTTTTATAATTATTTCATTAATCACAAGCCGTAACTTCAATTTGCTTGTTTTTCCTAGAGTCTTTATGAGTTGCATGGGCATGTCGTCTGGTCCTTTCGCTGTACCTGCTGGAAGCTTACTTTCTCTCTTGCCTCATTCTTTTTTGGTTGTCTCCATTGCTACACAATCCTGCTCCTCCATTACACGGCTGCTGTCAGTTTTTGTCCCTCCCTCCCTCTTCCCCTTTTCCCCAATTTTCCCAAAATTCATAAACACATAGTATCTTTACTTTTAGAACAAATGTTTCGTGCCTTCCACAAAATTAAAACGTCGTTCCCGCTCATTTAAGGCTGGTTTACACAGCTGCGACTGCGTACAACAATGTGCCTGAACACTTCTTAAATATCTTACGAGAGAACACACTGGCGCCATTTATCGGGTAGCTGTGGAACGCCTTGGCGGTTTTGATTATTTCCTACTCTTCTAACACATAATTCTTTCTTTCTTGGCTTTAAAAACTGGTGATAATGTTATAAACGACTATTTATTGATAATACACGTATATTTGATCTCGAAATTAAAGAAAAATCCTCGCTCTAGTAAAACGCAGTTCCAGAGTTACCTTACAGACGGCGCCAGCGTGTTCTTTTGTCATAAGATATCACAAGAATTATGTCGTAAGCAAAGGCAGGTGAATGCGGGCCTTTAGAAAATACCGCGCCGCTTAATTCATGACGCCCCCCACAAAAACACGGGCGGCTAACTTTTTATTCCGACGAACCATTTTCCAGTGAACCGGTAACGGTCACATGGGATGATGATTTTGTTACCGTTCAGGTTCAACATTAAATGTATAATATCCGTTTGCGTTTTGTTTCAGTTCAATTAAAAATAATAGTTTTTCTGCGGTTTTAGGTTCGGGTCTGGGTTAGGTTCGACACCCTTTTTTAAACCAACAATGTCAAAGTTTACATTCTTTCGTTACTTTTACTTTTGTTGCTGAAAGCGGAATCATTATAACTAAAGACGTCACAGTGAGCGTCTGGCGCCTGGTCAGTCGTGGAACTTTGACAACGGCAGCAGAAAGGAGAGGCACGTTTTCGGTGTCCCTCAGTATTTTCGGCGATTGCACCAGGCCCAAGGAACACGAAATGCTAAACCCGCTGGTCCGGTATGGCTAGAAAAACTTTACGTTTCCGTGATTTCTAATTTAGCTCTTGAGATAGGGAGAAAGGTAAAGGTGGGTTATTATTATTTTACGTTAACGAACTAAAAAGAAAACAAATTCCTCTTTGGGGTTCTACGACCATCATTCGGGTCACTGTTTAAACAAGTTCGAAAAATATTTTGTCGGTCATCGAAGAAAAATTAACAACCTTCCAGGGTTTGAAAAAAAGATTTTTTATATGAGATGAAATTCAAAAATAACAAAAATCTTACTGAGGCCCTATTAGTTCTGAATTATTGAGTGAAATTTGATTGAATCTTAATTTGTAAATCTAAATAAATAACTTCCCACGCACGGTAGTTTATTTCGGGGCAGAGTGTGTACAAATATTTTTATGAGCTTATGAGAGTTGGTAGTATGTGTTGATGGGTCATCACAAAACTTAAACATATCTATTATTTTATCATTTCGCGTCATTGTCAACTACAATCAGCCCAAAGGGGATATTGGTCCAATTATTCTAATTTGCGCGGCTTCTAAACTGCACGCAGAATTTATAACAACTTTGCACTCACCAACGTTGGCGACAGCTGGTTTGCAAATCGCAAACAGCACAAACATTGCCACGATCAGTCTTGTGGTTCTCATAACAAAGAATAAAAGACCAGTGTTCTTCATACTGTCATCCACCTAGAATTAAAACACGCAATTCAAATTGATGTCTCCAAATTAAAAAAATGGAAATAAATATAAAATTAAGGCAATCGCCTTTTTTAACGTTTGTCTTTCTTTGTCGAAGGATTCAAGGCGCCAAGGGACAGCACATAAAAATAAGACGAACTGACCGTGCGCTCGCTTAAAACTTGAAGGGTGATCAAAACAGCGAAATAATTCTGTACCGGAATGCCCAATGATCTCTCCTCAAAGATATGCTTGAAAAGAACCCAGGTACTTTAATTCAAACTCATAAAAGGCGATCGGGGGAAGACAGAAACATGTAGCTTCATCTTCAGCCTGAAATTTGAAGTTTGAAATCATGGAACAACGCTAACTCGACAAAGTGATGTCACGGCATTTATCAAGGCTATGTTGTGAGCAGGAACCCGGCGTTCCTATTGCCTTCGGATTCAAAGTTAAGCGTGCAAACCCAAACCACTATTCAATAACATATCCAAACCCGTTTATTTTTGCGCAACGTGCAAAATTGGTTTAGCTTTTAGTAATTACAGCTTTTGAAACGAAATTTTCACCATAAACCATGGAGTTAATATTTATGGAGTTCGTGAATTTATCTTACGTCTAACGTACGTCAATCGACGCAATACGCATAAAATAAGTATGGTGCTCGTGTTACTCTCATTCATAATTTGAAATAATGTGTTTAAATTCATAATAAAGACCCTATATATAAATATGGTTTTAGAGTGAGAAACAGTATTGGTATTTAGAATAAAAGATAACTAATTTCTTCATCACAACGTCTTCCCGTCGGCAGGTATAAGATTACAGCCATTAAGTTATAATTGGTGAACAAATGGCCTAAAACCCTCAAGTACAAGTTGAAAAACGTTTGTAGAGGTGGGCTTTATTAAACACATTATTAATCTTGGAATACCAGACTCTATGCGGCCAAACAATAATAATGTATATGTTCATAAAAGAGAGACGACTGATTCGAGAAGACGCTTGATTCAACATCCTCCTTGAAGGTGCTCGTGTAATTCGAACCTATATTTAGGTCAAACTCCCAATAAATGTACTGAAGGTTCCATAAAATGTTCTAATAAGATATATTTAAAAAAGTGTGATGTTCAGAATTTTTAATGTAGAATGTACAGCCTCTGAAGATTTTATGATAGTTATGCTCAAACAGCGAACTTTCAAGCAATGAAATATTAAAAGAGCGAACTTTTATAAATCGAAATCTTCGGGCAGCAATCCTTCAAGCAGTGAAGTATCCACAACGAACATGCAAAGAAGTGCCATTTTTCACAATGTACTCTAGATAATTATACCTCATTAATGTTATATTCACGAGGAATTGAAGAACCTTAATAAACATTATCCTTAAACCCAAATTATCATTTAAATTACCACTCACACGAAAAGTAAGTACATAAATAAATACTGGAAGTTTCAACAAAAAACGATATTGATTAACATACAATATGTTTAAGCACTGGATTTCTTGCAAAACGAGTTTCGCTCGAGTCTAACAAAAACTCACTAGACGCAGGCCAAGGCAACATAAAGCATACATATCTTACAACAGGCAATTCATAAGCATATGAAGCTTAAATAAGGCGTACTCAAAAAGCATAAACAATATAGCTATAAATATTTTACGCATAATTATTTATAATTTGCACTATTTGCAAAAGTAACTCAGCGGGGATCATGTATAACACAGACCAACGACCTTGATCGGCCCCATGAGGAGGCGGGCGAAAGGGTGAGGAGATCAACTAACCATGATTCACGAGAGCCAATCATTTGTGCGTAGAGCTGGCACCCGAATAACGAAGTCCAGCACTCGTAATCTCGCGTAAATGGCGCTACGCAAAGAGACGAAAAACAAAATATACCCATTATTTTGCAGGCAACGCGACATAAACGTGCATAAACCACGCACGTTTAATCCAGCAAACTAAAAATATATTGATTAGCTTGCCTGTAGTTTACATTACAAATTAAAATATTCAATAAGGCACGCAGCGTTGTAAAATGAAGGCGAGCTGAGAAGACAACTGAGGCGTGTCGTGAATACGTCTTCGGAGATCCAGCTTATAAGTTTCCGCAGTTTACGTGCAAGCAAGGTAAGTTTTAGTTCGACGTGATTTAAAGCTAGCTGGTACACCGTCACACAACACTGCGGTCAAACTGTGCCAACTGTGCCCAACACCCGACAGGGTCGCCCAAACTCCACAACTCATCCAAACAGAGACTGTCATGTAATCGTCTGCAAACGCGTCAAGGCGTAAGCCTACAGCCAAGCTTTTGCAGACGTTTAGAGAAACAGACGACGCCCGTCGATGAAACCGCGACACGGCGCAAGCGTACATCGAAGTGCATGAATTTGGAATATGATAAAGCTGCAATTAAACACGCATATGAGAATAAAAATTCATTCAAGACTTGCAAGCACACCAGAACTATAAAACAGTTCTGACAGGCGAGCAGCAGTCGTTGGTTATTCACAGATACGAACGAATTAATTTGAGTTACTCTCAGATTAATGAATTGCGTTGGGATTAAATTGGTGATAGGTTGAGTTAAATTCCTTGGCGCTTGGATTAAATAAAGGTACAGCTGGATTTAAATGCAAGGATGCTCGGATAAAAAAAAGTGGGCACTTGGATTATTGTGTGCGGGGAAACCTGTACTCCACATTGCCAGCCGCTCACGCGGCGGAAAGCACCTTAATGTCATGGAAAATGTTGAAAGAAAATGGTGTGGTAATTTTATCTCTCCAGGAGCTAGTAAATATGTTACTTTAAATTAAAGAAGAGCGCTGACATTGTGCGTTCCTTCGCAGTTGCATACAAACCCGAGTCCATGACCTTTCCATATGCAGCCGCGCCATATATCGTCAGGCGGAAGTATATCTGCGATGCGGAAGCCGCCAGGACTCCGTCTGGTCGCACCTCTGCGGACGTTTTCAGTGGCTGTTTCCTCAACTGCCTATTTTACACCCTGTACTCATCTTTTTTCTGACCTGCTTGATAGGGTACATCTGTTTTAAACTGATACTTTTATTGGGGAACCCCGCACGGACCATTCTTGCCTGTGTTGGTGGTGGTCGCACCGCAGGAAGGACATGCGAGAGAGTGTCAGCAACGGAGCGCAGCCGTGGAGGTTTGGTGTCAAAACGCGCCACCAATAGCGCTGAGCCTCGCAGAGTGAGGGGGGGCGGGGGGGGGGGGGGGGGGAGGTTAAGTGGCGCTCTAACTTTCTTTTTTCCGCTTTCCCCTCCGCTGCGCCGGAAAGGTAGCTGCGCAGAAGGGTAGGAACTGCTTGTTAGTGCTGTCTTTCTCATTGTATCTGACGGAATGTCTAAGCCATGCGATTTTTTATTCAATTGAGGTCGATCGTTTATTCAAATATTTCATGGAGCTTCACATTTGGTTATCACATCGCTATGGAGGTGAGTAGGTCTCAAATCCCAGACTCTTTGCACCCGCTCCGCACTAGAAATGCAACCTGGGGCGCTAGCTGTGATCAGCGCGACACACGTCGTTGCCGGTCCCGTCGGCACCTGCGTGAACTGTCCAAAGCCGCGGATACGGGCCCTAAAGACTGGACTCCATGGAGCGAAAAAAGCGACAGATTTTGCCCGGCGGCGTTCGCTTGGCGCGCCTCATCAAAAGAGTGGCTGTTGCGCCGCATGTAAAGTGAACGCGCCGCCGGGCAAAGTTGTCGGTTTTTCGCAGCATATTCGCTCCATGCACTCTAAAAAAAAAAAAAAAAAAAATTCTTGAAAGGTTTTTTGATGCCTTAAGAACACTTTCAGCCTATCAAGAACAGTTTTGCCTCAAGCACTATCGCCACCTGGAGCACTATAAATGCAACTTGGCGATGATAACTCTTTAGTTTCAAGAAAGGAGCTTAAAGGGACCCCTTAGAGTTTTTTTTTTTTTTTTTTTTTTTTTTTTTTTTTTACGAAGACCCCTTTTAGAGGGTGCCTAAAGTAACTTTTTTATGGCGCAAAATATGGACAAGCCGAAAAGCTTTTTTACGACCAGATTTTTTTTTTTTTTAGGTTGCGAAACTGAGCCTTAAGGTCTCCGCCGGTATTAGGGAGGAGGACATCAAAGTTTGGGTTGACATTCCAAAGCGCGTAACCAAATTCAATCGGTGAAGTAATTTTATCACACTCCAGAACGGTGCATTTTATTGTTAGCCGGTTGATTACTCCATTTCACAGTCTGTGGGAGGTTAAAATGCTGTAGACGCTCCGTCTGTAATGCGAGCATTCTGCCTTTCATATGACTTTGTCTCACGACCAGCCGAAGCCCAGCGTAAAGAAATGACCGCGTGCTGGAGATGTATGGTGCGTCCCAATCTTAACGCCGCCACGAGATGGGCCGGTTTCTTCACCTTTTTCAGCTATTGCTGAACCTAGCGGTCAAACAAGCTCGTGAAAAGTTGCGCCCCCGATGAAAACCCAACCAGGGGAAGGTATTCCAGCAGTTGCAGTGAGCAATTTATCTTTGGGTACCATGCAATAGATCAATATTTGCGTAACCGAGTTGCGATGTTATGTTTGAGGGGCGCTGTAACCTTCTATTGCACCCAGTCACCGACCATAACTGCGATGTTGTTATATATATGGCTCTGCGTTGCAGAGGCGCCACTAATCATAAAAATCAAAGAAAGTTTCATCGATGATGTGACATACATCTAATTTTTTTTACATTTTTGTGCAGGGAGCAAGGTGAGAAGCAAAACAACATAAACGAATCTCGGCTAAACAGTGGTTGATCATAATTACTAGAAATTGAACAATAATAATTGTCAGCTGCCTTTTTTTATAATCGCACACATAATTTAGACTTCACATGGTCGCCTTTTATCGAATTGCAAACACTAAAAAGCGAGGCTGTGTTTCTGCGGCGCTTTGCTGAAGACTACGTCGAAATGTTAGAGCATTATCCTTTTTCTATGAAAATTTACTTCGCTATCCGTCGCTC